AAAATAGCTTGTATACATTCACGATCAGGGTGCATTATGTTTGGGAGAATACGGTAGTAGACTGGTGTCCAACAGTTTGCATGTATATATATATTTTTTCTTTTTTTTTTTTTAAGAAAAGAAAATGTAATTGTGTTGATATCATTGCTCCTTAACATCACACCGATAATCACAGCCACCTTCTCCTTTTTCGTTTTGCGAAAACAAAGACAATACCTTCTCCTTCTCCTCCTCCTCCTCCTCCTCCAGCAAAAAAAAGACATTACCTCCTCCTCCTCCTCCTCCAGCAAAAAAAAGACATTACCTCCTCCTCCTCCTCCTCCTCCTACTACTACTACTACTACTACTACTACTACTACTACTACTACTACTACTACTCTGTCTGGTATCCCTTTCTTTGAATCTCCCCCCTATTCACAGAAGTTGGCAACATTCTCTGAACCTTCTCGTCCTCCTGCTCCTCCTCCTCCTCTGACCGGAGAGGACGACGAGAGAACATCCTTTGAACATTCTTCTTCGTCCTGCTCTTCCTCTGTCGTTTGCAGGGGGAAGATGCATGCACCGACATAACTTCCGCATCGCTATCAATGATGTTTTTCAGACTTTTTTCTCTCTTTTCAAGTTATTTCAGGTTACCTGACTGTTGCCGTTGTTTTGAATTTTCTTCTCATATGTTGACTGCTTTGTCAACAGTGTGTGTTGACGAGCTCCTGCATACACGCTTCGCGGAGAACTTGCTCTCTCTCTCCTTCTCTCAACAAGAGGTATATCTTGGTCTAACTCTTAAGGTGTCTCTTGTCTAAGTGTGTATCTAATGTAGTGGAGAACTCGCTCTCTCCTTCTCATAATCATAATGTGTCGCTGACACATAACAACACACAAGAGAGAGAGAGAGAGAGAGATTAGTGCATGGTGTGTTTTGTGTCGCTCTCTGTTGTTGACGCAGTCAATCTGATTGGAAAATGTAATAAACTTAGTGGTGCGACTCCCGCGAGTGAATATTATTTATTAATTTTTAAAATTTAATATTATTTATTAAATTTTATTTACTAATTTAATTTGATTTTTCAAATGTTGCGAAATTGTTGCGCAGGAGGATGCAGCCGTGGAAAGTGAGTCAGATGATGAAGAGCAGCATATCTATAATCCGCTCAAGTTACCGATGGGCTGGGACGGGAAACCGATTCCCTATTGGTTATACAAGCTTCATGGGCTGGGGCAGGTAGGTGGTATCAGTTTTCACTTTTCCCATTTTATGATGTTGAGTATGAATATTAAATCAAAATTACCTACATTAATGACAAAAAAATTGAAAAAATTGAAAAAAAAGATTGAAAATTTGATTGTACTCGTTCTGCAG